ATGGTAGAGAACCCTTACCTTGAAGGCCCAAAGACGAGAAGGCCGAAATAATCATCTGTTGAACCATCTCAGGAGTAAGGACAAATGAGTTGCTAGCAGGGGAAGTACTAACTGTAGCCTGATATGCATTAGCCTGATAGTTCTGAGGATGAGTGGTACATTCTTTAATTGTATGCCCTGATTTCTTGCAATAGCTACAATATTTATTTCGACAGTGGACAGCTATATGTCCATATTCCTTGCAGCTAAAGCACTGGACCTTTCGCATGTCTCTAACCCTACCTTTCCCTTGAGCAGTATAGGCAACTGCATTAATTGGTGGTTTGTCTTGCTAGTAATTGGCCTGTGTAGCAAGACGTTGTTTCTCTCGAAGTAACTCTCCGAAGCACACGTCCAAAGAAGGAGTTGGATCGCGATTCATCAAACTAGATCGAGCTGCCTCAACTCAAGCCGTAGCTTCATTAAGAGCTGATCTCTCTTGCTCTGCTCATGTACTTCTTGAACTGCTCCAAGAGAGGCATCTGGTACCTTGGAATAAATCATATAGGTATATTCTGCCCACAAGATTTGAAACCCAGAATAATACTCTTGAATGGATTTATCAGTTTGAGAATAACTAGCAATTTCAGACTCCATTTAAAATCGTCGTGCTGTATTGTCCTGGTGGTAAACTTTCTTCAAATATTCCCACATATTCTTAGCAGTCTTGTACGGCCTTAGATTTAGAACAATCATAGGGTCAATAGATGCTAAAATCGAAGTCATAACTTGAGTATCTTTAATTTTTCAATTTGCCAATTCTTTAGGATCCGCGAGGGCAGAATCACTTCCATCAATATGACCCCACAATTCCTTCCCAGTAACGAATAAACGAAATTGAAATTCCCAGGCAGAATAATTTTTTTCAGTGAGTTTCACACCAAAAAATTCTGAATTTCCAGTAGACATAATTAAAAAAATAACACACATGCCCAACAGATATTAATTCGTGGCAATAAGTTCAATACCTCGAGCCCAATTTAGTTTGGCCCAAGAGAGACACCCGATTAGAGAATCACTTCAGCCAGCGGGTTTGGCCCAATTAGAAATAAAGTCCGGTAATATACTTCACCTAAGCCCTAACAATCAACCACGAAGGAAGACTGGAATGAAGCCGAGACTGCCGATTCGCTGTCCCTCCTTCTCGACACCAAAGAACTCCGACCGAGCCTAAGACAGTTATCGTCGACAGCAAAAGTCAGAGCTCGTCCACCGAAACTGGAAATAGGAGTGATCGCCGCCAACCACAAGTTTCTCCAATAAATTAGCCGGAGTCGACGACACAGAGATGGGCAGAGTTCATGTCGAGTTCACCCCCAACAACTCTTTCACATAGACTGCACAGAGATTTGACGGCTACCACAGTCAGTGATCCGCCAGGTGAGTTCCCAAAAAAATGATTTTGAGCTTTACAGTCAAGCCCAAAAAAAAATACCAGGAAAGTCTTCTTTTTAGAGTGAAGGCTCTGATACCATATCAATAAAACTCAATTTGGTTTTGAATGCCTCTCCAAACGAGAGTTGCTTGCATTATATGCTGTGTGTATTTCTAATGACAAGGCTCATTCTTAGCCATTACACTAATTATGCTAGTCATTACACTAATTATGCTACAATTACAATAATCACTCCTCTATCATGCATAACTAGGAAATGGAAAAGAGAGGGGAAAGGGGAATCTGTAATTAGGGAATCCGTCCATAATTGGATCCATATTGATAGTTTAGGGTTTTGTTTGTATAAAATAAAAATGGGTTCCAAAAAGTGTTACTTAGTGCTTCATTAAGTCCAAATTGCAATGAAGTCCCTCATTTCTAGTTTATATAACTGTTAGTAATTAACTTTCCATAATTGAAACCTAAACCCCAAAATTCTATTCTATATGTTTTAACAACTTATTCAATATTCATTTCCTTCCTTGTAAACAATTATTTTTGGTCTATTCAAGATGACATCTTGGGTTAGTTAAAAAAAATTGAAACTTGAAAGACGTATTCACAT